CCCCAAAACCCCAAAACCCCAAAACCCCTTAAAGCAAATGGTATATAAAATAAGATTAAGTAATTTATGTTAGAAATTAAACATATTATGATACTATCTACCTACCCTGAAAAGCTGAAAATGATTAACTATTTTAATCAATGCCTGAGTTAATAATCATTTTGAATAATTTTTAACCTCAATTACTTAATCTTTATTTTTGCTTAGTTTTTTTAATATTTTGTTATTAAACACAGCTCTTTTAATGATAAAGCTTGGTGTCTCATTACTCTAAGGATATTTTGGATCCTTCTTCAATCTTAGTAATGGCTGATAGATCATAGCTGATCTTTGTTGTCTGGCTTGCCAAGATATTTTCAAGAGAAGCTGAATAGTGAATTTTCTAATCACAGTATTTAATAGCTTACTCAATTTGAGGGTTTTGGGAGTCAACTTCTTCCTCTCTGTCTTCATCAAAGTCATTTTGAGGATTAGTGAAGTTTCCATCATCCTCAACCTTTAGATATTGAATCATATTCAAATCATTGTCATGAATGTTTTCCTGAGAAGCATTCTACTTGATTCCAACTTCTTCGATCAAGAAATCCTTCTGAATGTTTTGATATTGGCATGAGCTTTCTACTACGTCTCCATTAAGGACGACCTTCTTCTCTCTTTTTGTTTGTCTAGGCTGTTTTTTTAGTCTGTGATTTGTGTTGCTTTGTCTTCGCATCTTCTCCCGACTAAAGGACATTTTCTTATCTCCATCTAAAGTAATTTCCTTAGAATATATTGGGAACTAATGCATATGTCTAGAGAAAGATATGGTCACTGAATTCAACTTAGGTCTGTTTACAAGATCGTTATTCAAAGCTGACTTCTTTCTATCCATTTTAGCCAATATATATTCAGGATTTCACTATTTATTTTTAACATCTTTCAGTACAACTTAGAATTCATGATCTTGATAGTTATTTGCAGACTAGTCCTACGATTATATCTTCTGTGGAGTTTATTATTGAGAGTTTCTCAACTACGTTTCATCGAGACAACACTAATTAGTTATATTTCCCATTATTTATTTGCTTGATTATTTTGATATTTATTAATTACTTAATCAATATTTTACTTCTATTTATATAAATTTTCTATTAAGGGGTTTTGGGGTTTTGGGGTTTTGCGG